GTGGTGGTGGTGGTGGTGGTGGTGGTGGTGGTGGACTCAGCATAGGAGGCGAGAGGGGAAGACAGAAGAAAGTGAGGAGGCTTAAGGAACAAGCGCGGCGGGCGAAACGTGGGAGGAGAGGAGAGTGCTGATATCGAAAGAGGCAGGGGTCACGGGACAGGGCTTCTGGAGTTGACGTGAATGGGATCCGGACGGCGTGGTGGGAACGCGTGCGCCAGTAGCCGGGCGAGCTGATGGAAGGCGACGCCGTTACTTATAAAAGCGCGCTCCTCGTCCGCCTCGTCGCAGCCAATCAGGGGCTCAAAATAGCAAACAGCCGGCGGGAGCCCGATGCCATCTGCGCCGCATGTTCCAGATCCGCCCTCCGCCCGCCGCGCCCTCGCCCGCCGTCCGGCCGTCTGCCTCCGCGGGTCTCGCCGGGCCTCGCCGTGCTCTGCTCGCCCATGTCGGCGCTGCCATGCTCCGTCCGACGCCGCCCCCCATCGATGCCAGCTGAAAACACCCGCTTCCAGAGTCTGCCCATCGCGTCGCCCTCAGCCCAGGGGCGCGAGTTCTCGATAAGGCATCCAACCACATTCCCACGCCCAAACCCCGCGCACACCGGCTCCCCCCGCGAGCCTGTCACTCCCGCAATTCGTCACAGCCACTTCTGAATCCGCGATCAAGCGTTTGCCCATGTGCTATAACGCCTCGCCTCCGACGATGATCCAGCGTTGCAATGGGAACCTCAGGGACACTTGCAGACGTCCACGAGCCCTGGCGAATGCTGAAAAGGCAAGTTCCATTCGAGAGTGCGGCCCTGTTTTTATACAATTTCGGAGCAGTCGTGCCACCGGTGCGGACGTCGTCGCCGAATCGTTGATGCCCTGTCCGGATTCGAGCAATGGCTCGGTCCGATGTCGCTGGAATCCTGCCCCCTCTGGTGTGTCCATGCAGCAAATCACCTTCAGCCTTGGACACACTCACAGCCTCCCCTCGCAGACTGCTGCACTCTTAGCGCACGAAAACCATGCTCGCAACCATCCGTACTCGCCGGAGATCGAGCGCTAGACGAGACGTCTGCCGGCGGCGCAGCTCGCTAAATCGCCGAGAGCGGAGACGGGAAAGCGAAAAACGAAAAGCAACGATCACAGAGCCAAGCATAGATCGAGGACATGGCTTGGCACTAGCTGCAGAGAAGATGGCAAGTCTGCAGTCGACTGTCGCTCCTTGTTCGCCTCACGCCACCTGATATCGTACCCATGTCCTCGACATGTCAGGGCGAAATCAGCGCTGCCTGTCCTGCACCCGCCCCCTTTCCCCCCTCCGTTTGCTCAAAGTGCCAGTGCCATCCTGCGAGGCGTCATCCCTGACCACCAACCCCCTGACGTGCCCAGCCCCGCGCGCCGGACCGATCCCGCTCGTAGCGTCGAGCCGCAGGCAAAGCTGGAGCTTGAAGGGCCCGCGGCACAGAAAAACGTCCTACACAGCCCCTGACGTGCCCTGTTCTTCCGCTGCCCGCGCGGATATGGCAATCGTGGAATGCAGTGCCTGCCTGCTACGCGGGTGCGATCTCGCGCGTACGCGGCTCCCCTCTGCGCCCCCTTCTGCCGCTTGCCCCGTATTGGGTGCCTTGCGCTTTTGCGTGACAAGTTGGCTCTGTAACAGACAAATTAAATACAATTGGCTATCGAGCTATTGGCATTATCGTATCAGTGCGTTCAAAATTCCTTTTCTGCGCCTTCTCTTTTTCTCTGTCGTCGCAAGCATCATGGAGCTCTATGCGCATGATGAGCCGAGCGAGGGTACAGCTACGTCTTCGCTCTGGTAGATCTCAAAGGCTGTAGTCCGCAGATGCTTGCGAGAATTCAACCTGTTTCCAAAGACAGGTTTAGCTGTTCCATAAGCTTCTCCAAAAAGCTGATGAAGTGATACATACATGACCATACAAGAATTCACATAAACTTGGACTATAGCATCAGTTCTGTGGTTCTTGAATAGATACAGGGTAGAATAACATACCTTTAGAGAGAAATATATCAACGCATAGAACTGAAAATGTGCCTGCCATTGTTGCCATCTGTTTGAAGTTTGAGACAAATAACTACATATATTAGTAGAGCAAATGTTCATTACCATCATGACAGCCAGGAGAGCAAATATACTGTGAAAAATATCACTTGTCAGTAACCATTGTAAAAGTCCAATAGAATAAGTGAGGTGGCTATACCTTGTCATTATTCCAGTCCTTATTGTATATATAATAAGCTGGATTATATAGGAATGCCTATAAATTAGCATTACATTAGCTGCATTCTATCTCAAGCAAGTTCAAAATATAGATACTGACTTCTGTGATGTAGAATAACATCCTGCCAGTAGGTAACACAAAAAACAGGTAATGACTACATCATTGCAAGCCAGTGTTGCCAGTGAATAGTATGTGACCCACTAGTATAGCAAAGATTAGCATAAGCAAGTGCTATCAGGAAAGCTTACTTACCACTGTGGTGGGTGCAAAGAAGTCACTGTAGAAATGTATTTTTGATCGTGAACTATAAATGTCATTCTAGTAAGTTCAGATAGTGATGTTTGAAAAGTATAATGCATACATTTCATAGCTGAAGACTGATAGAAAATGCCATTAGCACTAAAGATCAAGCCACAAAGAGAAAAAAAAAGACCTATTGTAGCAACTGAAATCAGTTAGTAGTTATTTTGATAGAATCAGAAATATAGACATATACCATAGGCTGATGCAAGAAACAGGACCTATAAATATAGGCTAAATTAGTAGTGGTGTAAGTCTTACTATATCCAATATCTCACAATCATAAAGTATATGAACTTCTGGCGAAGAGAGTCTGGGTACAGCATTCCAGCCACTGAAACAAAGTACATCTCAATAATAGCTACATGAGAATACCTTGCCACTTACACCTTATAACCCTGATAGAATATAACCTACAACTATTTGTGAGTATCACTTCAAAACATATCAGTGTAGAACATCTCGTACGTGTGAACAGACACAGCTGTGACACCCTTATGTCTCATTAGCTTGTCTTATAAGCAAGAAAGTATGAAATCACAATGAAAATAAACTGGGCCTATTATCACCATCAGTTATGTTCAGCCCTGTCAAAGTATATCATATAGTGTACCTTGCAGCTCCAAATTACATCAACCAGTGCTATAGGATAGGCATGGTTTGTTACAAGTGCCCAGTATAGAAGGTGAAAGCAGAATATGAGATGGACCATATCCACCAGCCTGACCAGATAATATAAAAAGTCAAGCCACCTAGAGAGTATAGAAATAATGCTTACCATAGCCAAGCAACTGCAAGCTTATACCAGATGTGATCACTTGAGTATTCTCTATAGTATTGGAAGACCTGGATGTTGGTAACCCCAAACAGACTGGGAACAAATTGTCCATCAGCATATCAAGCAGTGTGATCAGTAACACAGAAACATACACAGATGCAGCTATTGTGCCTATCAATGTCACACCATAGGTCTTGTCTAACTCGCTCATGACAAGTGTGAGAATCTTTGACTTGATACGGACTGAACTGTTAATGAGAAGGCAGAATGTTGAGAGACTTGTCTCAGAAAAACCCAGGCAATACCGGAGACCTGAAGGTGCGAGGCTACGAGTAAAGATCTGCTGTGGACATCACAGCCCTTATACGAGACAGCGAATGATATGAACCACCACCATCACATTTTCGTCTAGCTAGGCCTCTCAGAGTCGACAGTTCATCAGCAAGACGACATCGCATCTACACTCAGCCACAGGGCTTTTGATAGAGATTGACATTCCCTCTATATTATCTCCAGATGATCCGGATCAAGTAGTATATGACAAACACAAAGACGAACCTCTTGGCACCGCCGCCGCTCGATTGCAAAAGGGCCTGTTATACGGGAACCAAGCACCGCTACCATACGTGTTCCCCCACTTCCTTGGTGTATATACAGCTCGCTGATGGCGCGCGCACAAGAACGAGATCGTCGGTTTGTAATCCACGTACGAGCGCTGGTTCAATTGGATCTGGCGCAGCTTTGGCTTGTGCTTAGTTGGGCGCTCCATCAGCCAATGTGGGTTAGTTTCCGTAAACAACAGCAAAGTCTTGCCGTGAGGTGATGCAGCACCTTTTGTCCACGAACTAACCATTGACATTGCCTGCCACTCTCGATGCGAACAGATGCAATACGAGAGTGGCTATCCCTCATGTCGCATCCACTCGAGCTACCGGCAGCCTTCACACCCTCCCCTCCCCACCCCGTTAGCTGAGCGCTGTTTGTATCATCTAGCGATAGTTAATAGGGTGACATTCCGAGAAGATGGCAGTCATATCAGCTATTAAGATATGCTCTGAGGTATCACTACTCACATAGACGCAAAATGACGACCAATAACATGGCATTCATCCCCCCTTCACCGTCCATGAGTGAAGTGACTGTATGATGAGTGATCAGCCATCGCCATGTAGTCATTCTGCTCATACACGGCCGCCCAGATCTCCCGCCCGCATGAGTGACGCTCTCGTTTCCCAGCGTATCTGGAGGGGTCTGAAGATAGATATGAGGTCCGAGACAAGGGCAGTAGGAGTCTAAGTGGCGCACCACATGATGTCCGAACTGCGTTTGTCGGGCGCGTTCTTAGAAGAGATAGGAGAAAAGCATCTAAGATGACGCGGGGTAAGACATGAGTGCGCATACAGGCAAACAATTAAAATCGAAACGGAAGTACTTAGGTTCGAGACTGAAGGCAGTAGATACACATATCAATGCCGAACGCGATGATTCGCGATTTAACGGAACACTTGGATGCAGAAATGACGTGAGCTTTCAATGCAAGTTGATCACCAATACACCTTATGCCTCCTAGATCCACTCGATTCTCTATCCTCACCGTAGGCGATGACCTGGTTGAAAATCGCACAACACAGGCGGCCACTGGCGCGACCGAGTTCTCGTTGCGTCCGCTCTCTTGGGGCCTGGAAGCCTGGACATTCAAGGAGTGTCGAACCGTCTCCGGGCGAAGTTCAACGTCTCGTGCATTGGCCGCTTTGTACCTTCCCTATTCGTATCAGGTACATACTGTCGCCAGTTGGAGAGGGACGTGGCCGGTCCGCAGACTCAGTTGTGCCAGGCGATTTGCGATCTTGTCCGAATTAATTCCCGGGCGCGTGCTAGAGTC